TTTAAAAAAAAAAAAAAAAAAAAAAATATATATATATAAGAATTTTTATACATATATATATTTTTAATTCCTTTATCATAACTAATATTTTAATTTTTTTCTTGTATAATTTTAGGCTTAGAGCGTATCGCTGAAGAGTTAATGGGGCTTAGGAAATGGAAGCAATACCAAGAGACATTAATGCGAAGCTATTTGAATTCAGAACAATTTGTTGCAATAATCGACGACAACGCAATCATACAGAAGAAAGACCTGGATAAATTGGCAGATACAGAAGACAACAACCACCGCGAACAAAAAGATAGAAAGACCGAAAACCGTTTTATTGAATCCAGTAATTATCCACAACAACAACAACAACAACAAGGTAAATTTTGCTTTCTAAACGTTTCGAAAGGAACAAAACATTTTTGAAATTTGAATTTTTGTTTGTTTTTTTTTTTTTTTTTTTTTTTTTATATTTGATTGGTTTAGCATCACAAAATCTTACACAAATAAATTGTGTAGAAAATAATTCATCATTCACCGAATCACTAGCCAATAACAATAACAATAACATCACACCGAATACCCTTAAAGCAAATATTGATTTAGAATTGCCGGTGAGTCCATCACAACCGCAATCGCCAGCATCACAAACGCATATTGAACCTGAACCCATCGATTGGAAACCGAATGATAAGTGTTATTTTTGCATTAACGGTAAATTACTCACAGTGAACGCCAAGGGTGAATTGGTGGCCGAATCCGGCCCAACCGGGTCAGAAACGGACCACATGCAAAGAGTAAGATTTAATTTATATTCATAAATTTTTAATTAGATTATATAAGTGATAATGAATTGATGAATTTTTAGCTTGATTGCGATACGGATTCTAATGAATCGTCCACACTAACGGCCAACGTAAACAATTTACCCTTTACGGGTGGCCCTCTAACCGAAAGTAATCGCATAACACTGAATAAGCTTTTAACGCCGCATCTGAAAACAATGACCTCAATGGATTCGATGGCGGTACGTTTAGCTGCCATTCAATCAATATCGGGGCAATTACTTCCAAGTAAGTAAAATAATAAACTTCTTCTAAAGACCAAAGAACATGAGTAATGTTTTAGAGTTTTTTTCATTAGTGATATCCATCCATCTATCCATCATCGATATCCCCCTCCCTCCCATTAATCTAATTCCATATTTATAATTTACGCAAGAAATAATTCAAAAAAATAAGCTTCTCTCCCTTCTTGTCGCACTTTTGCCTTTAAAAGGGAACTGATCAAGTGTCTTTCACATCGGTATCTATGTAAAGGCAATAAACTAAGACCTAATGCTTAATTTGAAAATTTTGCTTCTTTGAATCTTATTGCTTCATAATTTTAAAAGTAAGGTTAGACAAGTTGGAACATGAAGAAGCAGAACATTAGAATGTCGTTGATACCAATCTCAAAGCCCCATTGCAAGCATTGAACTTACATAAATTTACATTTAATGTAACAATAAAAATAAAAAAAATATTTTTGTGATTTTTTTTTTTTTTATTAACTTTTTCTATTTCCCATTAGATTTTAATTGGATGGGTCAACAGCAGCAATCATCAACACAAGTAACGCAGCAACAGCAACAACAACAACAGCAGCAACAACAACAACAGCAACAACAACAACAACAGCAAACACAACCGCAACAAAATGTTTCGGTTACACCAACTACCTCAGATACATTAGCGGCCGCTATAAGTCCCACGCTAAAGGAATCGCCGAATTCCAGTGATGCAACCGGTGAACAACCTTTAGATTTAAGTTCCAAACCATCTCCAAATTCATCGCTTATTGGTGATTTAAAGAGTGTGAGGTAAGTTTAAATTAAAAAGACTCTTAACTAATATTAGTTTAATCTAATGAATACATAAAATGAAAAAAGAAATATTTTTATTAGAAATATTTGGAAAAGGAAAAAACAAATCAAATCAAATTCGATGAAAATGTTGAACAAACTTAAAGGAAATTTACTTAAGAATCGATTTGAATTTTACGAATTTTATTGCATTATTTTATATTAACAATTGCGTTGTAGGTGTCCAATAGTAGATTTACCGCTTATCAAATTAAATGACAGTCATTGTAAATCCTTGCCATACGTATTCAAATTAATATTTAATCAGGTATCAAAATGTAAATAGGAAATCTTGTATAAAACCGAATAAGCGCAACTGCAAATGTAAATTCGCTCAAATTATGAACGCATAACGTAACGTAATCAACATAACTATTATTATTATCATAGACGGGTAGAGAGATTACAATTTTTACGTATTTAAAAAACAAAAAAAATAAAAAAGTTGTAATTGTTAATCCAATTTAATCTGACAAACGAAACGACAAACGACTTGTTTTGAGATTCGTTGTTAATGCGATTAATTTACGTTAACGTTGATTTCTAATTAATAACTTTACAACATACCAGAAATACTTTATTGTCAAACGCACAATTAAACCTTCATTCAATATTGGCCTATGTAAATCTCAAATATTAACGGTAAAAGTTAGAATAGATTTGTGTCCGGCGTGCAACCAATATAATAACAATTTCTTTACAATCTTTCCTTCATCAAGAAAACAGAAGAGGGAAACGTCGGAATCTTTTACAGTGAGAGCAAATTTTCTAAATTCGACAACGAAAGTCAATGATATAAACGCTTTATCGGCGTAAGATTTTGAGTTCGCCTTGCCAAGCCCAACGTAATAATTATGTTGAACAGATAAGATTTCTCAACTCCATCCGCCTAAGTCTACAGCGCCCTCTAATAATCAAAATATAAAATGTGGTAACTAATTTTTCATGTTTATCCAAAGTATGGTCTTCGCTACTTCTCCCATTTTTTTTTTTTTTTTGACAAACAATGATTAGCTTGCCGAAAAGACATCATCGTAAGAATGAAAGCCCGGCTCAAACAGCCAAAATTAGATCGAGTTATATGTAGTTTACGATAAAGCTGAGTAGAATTTATTAACACACAACGAACGAATTTTTGCTTTCACTATATAAATGGGGATTCAGTTAATCCTCTGTCAACCGTTTTATAGGGTACATGTTACATTCAATTGTTTTTCTTAACCTCTGTAATGGAGAGTCAAAAAATGTTAGGCGCTAAGGCGACACCTCAAAAAATATGCAGCGAAGGACTGATAACTAATTGAAAGGACTGATAATAATTGATTGATATTCCGATGAGGAGATACGCTCTTAAAAGACGAGAGGTCCTCCCGACTTTGACGGCAAGCTTTTAAAGTTAATATCGGAGGAAAATTTCGCGCTAATCAACAAAAGGTATAGCAAGAAATTGAAATATCTCTCTATCTCTCAGCTCTTAAATTAATACAATTTTGTTATTCAATGAGAACAGAAAGTAAATAAATGTTTGACGAAAGTTACTTATGACTCGACCGAACAGGGTGTCGACAATAACCGATGTTAGTCACAAAGAATTATGTCGCCTGATAACGGCTAGGAGGTTAACACACAGTTCAGATTTTTATTCCGAACTTCTTTTAAGCGAATTTTTTAATGCTATTGAACGTATTTTATAGAAACAGAATGGCACGAGATATTTTATTTCAACTGCTATCTATCGTTAAGCATTAATTAATTCATCTTTCTATTAGGCAGAAAATAAATTCAATGCAGAAAGCAATACCGATCTTTCGCAAACAGATAATAATTCATCTATTGGAACAAATGTTATTCAGAAACAGTAATGTCTGTTAGTAACAGCCGTCAGAGTAGAGCATTTTAGGTTAATGCAGTGAACATTTTTCCAGTATATTGTGGCCTACATTGACAAGACTTTTGGCACATAGACTTACTTTTTTTCATCTCTTTGTTACTAGCGTTTCCTAATGGTCGCGTAAGCTATATTATAAAACAAGCTCGCCATAAATATTCAATCTTATAGCCGACGTTAGTGGTTCGCCTAGACCGCATCATGGTTACTTGAGATGTGCATACCGTAGTGCATACCTAATTCATTATTCGTAACCATTTAGTGGGACTCTTATTGAATTTCCATTCATAAGTCATAGTAACGGAATTCCTTTTATAGTCAACTTTTTTATATACATATCAGAGAATAATTTACTAAAAGTTTTCCCTAAGAAATCAAAGTATCTATCCAAGTATCTATTGTGTATTCACAATACCACGCAGAACTGTTTCAACAAATTCTCACAATATTATTTTAAACAACGAACAATCTCATCTTAGTAATCAATTTTGTGGTTTGACATTAAACTCGCTACAGATATACGATGGCATAGATTTTATTGAAAATTCTTATGAGATCTTTTTTGTAATCATAATTAGGATTCTCCTAAGAAGTCGAATGCAAAACTACTCTCGTTTCCAAGATATTAACATTAATAACAATACGAATGTATTCAGCTTAAAGCATGCGAATAAATTCCGAATCGGGATAATAAGGGTATGTGTATAATGTGTAAATATAACTTTGTGCCAACAATACAACCGAATTAATACAGAGATACTTAAGGCAGACGGTGATAATAACTTCAATTATATTTTCGTAAAGTTTGAGTGCATACATATGCGTTAATATACACAAATGTCTATATATACTCGTACAAACACAATAACAATTATCCGCGTATTCATGCGATACAAGCAACCATGCATTTGTGTGTAAATGCACGCGCTTAAAAGAGATTATGGTTGATGATGACGATGGTGCTGATGAGGATGATGATAATGATGATAATGATGATGATTATGGTGGCGCGACAAGACTGAAATTTATGTAAAAATTTGTTTTTCACCTCCTCTTATACCCCTACTCGTTTGCTTTTCTTGTTTCGTTTGTTTTCGTTTTTGTTTTTGTGAATTTTTTTTTTTTTTTTTTGGTTTTTCGTTACACAGAGGTAAAAAACATATACGCATTCATTTGTGTATGGATGTATGGATGGATGTATTCATACATTTGGGGAATGCAATAGCGACAGCAATTAAGTAAAAGATGCATTCTGTTGCCGTGCATTGACGGCAACAACAACAATTTATCTGCGCAACAACAGCTTAAATACTGTCTGAGTACTTATGTATGGCAATAACATTAAGGTGTGATTTTAATGAAACATTGAGGCAAAAAAAAAAAAAAAAAAAAAAAAAAAAAAAAAAATAAATTCATGTTCACGTTCACCGGTAAAATATATTTTAAAAAAACAAAAAAAAACCAAAAAAAAAAAAAAAAAAAAAAAAATGAAATAAAATCAAAGAACAAATCAGAACAGGAAGAGGGAGGGAGGGAGAAAAGTTACATATGTAACTGAAAGTCAGCCTATACTTTTTATACCATTACTCGTAGAGCAGAGTCTAGACTATGGTACAAGTAAGTGTTAAAGGAAAAACGAAAGTGTTTTCGGAAAAGAAAAAAAAAAAATTGAAGAGAAATGCAATAAAATTCTTAGTTAACCATATATGTGTTGATATGTGTACATGCATGCATGCATGCGTGCATTCATATGTATATATTTTGTAGAAAATCATCTCCCTTGGATCTGCTCAAATCGGAACTTTTTGAAGTGCTGCGCCTCCTATCATTACTTTTGTTTCGCTACCATAGATGAATTTTGCGGAACAGACGAAAGTCACACTTGTGTAAAAAATTTTTGCAATTATAATGATGATGAATCTTTTGAAATGTTTTTACATTTGCTAAATTATCCCAAAAAAATTGTTTTCCTTTTTTTTGTTTTTTTTTTTTTTTTTTTTTTTTATTTACTTTTTTCCTTTCTTTTTTTTTTTCATTTAAATCTTTATTTCTATTCAATGGTTAGGTACGTACGCTGTCGCATATAAGAGAAAGAAGTTCATGCATACTTTAATACGCAAATGTATAAATAAAACTTCACCTTTTGTTAATTTTTTTGATATTCATTTTATATATTCTGGATTTTTTAAGGGACAGTGTCAGTTGCACTTTTGTTATTATTAAAATTCTCTGCCTTGTTGTTGTTATCGCAGCTACAGCTACAGCTGTATCTCTAGCTCCTGCAAACCGGAGTGCAATTAACTCGTATATTGTTTTGAATGTCCTGGCCTGTCAACTTTTATCCATTATATGAATAGACTGGTTGGTTTTACATTTTTCATTTTTATTTTGTGCACAAATATTTCTTTTCCCCCCAATTTTTTTTCTCTTTTTTTTTTTGTTTTTTATTTATTTACTTTTGTACATATATTTTTATATTTTATTTTTCGCTTTTGCGCAATTGCTGGCTTTTTTTTTTTTATTTTGGTTTTTGTGTGTGTGTGTGTGTGTTTTTTTTTCAGATTTTCGGTTGAAGTTATGTTAATGAGATCTGGCGGCATGGGTGGCGTATGAATAATGAAATACGTTAACAACATAAGTAGCGATTGAGTATTATATAGGAAATGGTAAGAGAAAGAGCGAGGGAGAGAGAGAGAGAGAGAGAGAGAGAGAGAGAGAGAATTTAATAATGATTATCGCATACATGTAAACATTTGAACAAACAGTTAATGAATAAAATAACAGAAATCGTTGCGTACCCACGAGCACATCATCGGACAAAAGGATACTCAACTGTAACGCCCAAAATAAGTGTGTGAAATTTTGCTAAATCCATATATATTTGCTGATTCTGATATCACTAGCACATACTTCCCTATTAATTGTCCTCTCGAAATCGCATTTACAGCCTTAACAATGAAAACAATCAGTTAAAATTTCCGATTCAAACGTCTTTTATTTATCTGAACAATTAAAAAAGCTCAACTCAGTTGTCTATTATTAATCTTAAGATTTTTTAAATTAGCCTTTT